TTGTCCACGTCCACATCGATGTATTTTCACTTAAAAAGTTAAAGGAAATTGACAAAAATACAATTCTTCTTATTCTTGTGAAAAGTGCCAAACATAACGTGCCAAATAAGTGGGGGATTCTGCACTTCACCTAAAGGAACTACATGACATTAAATCCTGGTTTATCTTGTTAAATTTGCTTCCCAGAAAACACAGTAATCACTTCATTTTATTTAAATAGAAAAATACTTTTTGCGAAAAATTTTGAAGTTAGCTGAATAATATCCACTAGCTGTAAAAATCACAGTTTTTTGTTTTCTCTTCAAAAATTTCTTGTTTCTAATAAAATGTTTGTTTATAATAAACATAACGATATCTGTGATGCTTAAAAATAGCCAAACAAAAATTTTTCGCCAATTCTCAAAACCCACAAGCTTAGAGACTTTTCACAGAGATGTGATTAATTAGCAATTTCCAAAATCGCTGCAGGTATTTTACTAATGTCCCTACTATTTCTCCGTCTATGAGTTTAATCAAAAGCGAGTTAAATAAAAATTGGCAATGTTCATTGTTGTTTACAATAATAGCATTATCATAAAATGCTTGTCATTTCCTATGTCAGTAGAATTAGTTATGACAGTATCACTGACATAGGCACGGCATATGATATATTGCATAAAAATTCATTACAATAAAAAAAAACCTTCATTTTAATTTACAGCTCGAAAGTTCATAGTCAAAAATTATTACATAAAATGTTTTTTAGTGAATTTTCTTCATTTCGCACGCTTGCAAGTTATGAAATTCAGTAGCAATAGCCTCAGATTTATTCTCTTCTCATTGCAGTAGACTAAGATTTAATAATTTACGCTACGGCCACAGGCTACTCTGTGCTCATTACGACAGATTTATTGGCCAATTAAATTTATTTAGGGAAGCACTTCCACAGAGAACACGGTAAATGTAAACATCGCTAACTTTGGCGATAATAGTTCAAACCTGGTAACTTAGCTAATTAATCCTATTCGCTTGTGCGAAGGTTGTCGTTGTTCGCATTTGGAGATTTATATTATTCTTCTCTTATTTATTGTTATTTTTTCTGAATTTTTTAACAACGAATAGATAGAAATATTTTCTCATAATTAAATAAGTTTTTGTCGAAAGATGCCGGTTCTCGGCTCGTCAGTTCGGGATCAAAGGAAGAAAATATGGCGGGAGGGGTGAATGCTAATTTGTAACATGCTCTTCACGTTATGTTCTTAATTATTAACAGCTGTAAGCACGCAGAACCATAAGGTTTCCAAATCCTAAAATAATTTAAAATGTATAAAGTTCTAGTCTTATTAACAATGCTACTGAAGAAAATTTGATTACTGTTGAAGGTTATTTGTATTGTGAAATATATTACGAAAAAGAACAGGTATTTGTTTCAACGTAAAATGCTTTAAGCTGTATGCAAGTAACTTGAAAAAAAAAAAAAAAAAAAAAAAGGTTGATCTTTACAATATGGTAACTGGTAGTTTGGCGACATTTTGGAGGCGATAAAGGTTACTACCTGGGACTTTGGTAATAATGTGAGCAGTACTCAGTTCCGATTACGCATTATTTTGTGTGAGGGAAATGAGAGATCATGGGATATGTCATGTGATATTAATGGACGAATTACGGTTTTTGAATCGGAAAAGGAGGGAAATCGGGAAAAAATCTGGAAATTTTGTATTTGGTTTATTCTGTGTTGTGTGAAACAGTGTTCGTGAATTTTTGGATCCCATGGCCGTAACTAAAGAAAAGTTTATTGGACACGTAATCAAGATTCTGAAGAAGATTAGGTAAGTTAGTATTTTTAATTACTTGAGGATATTATTTTTATGCATTGTGTTCTAAATGTAAGGTGGAAGTAAGGAATTTGGTATTATTGGGAAATTGTTATTAGCAATGATTTAGTTTAAAGTAATTAGCATTGTAAGGTAATTTTTATTAATTTAATGTATGTGCTCATTTATATTTTAAGTAGTGTTTTTGAATTTAATTATATTTTAATTAAATGATAGTTATTTTGTGAATTTTATGTTTGTAGGAATTTGGTCTACGTTATCAGGTAATTTCATATATGTTCTTACCGGGTTTACCGGGTTAAGATTGAGAAAATTGTCATGTATTTTCGTGAAATTTTTCTAATTTATGAGAAAAAAGCAGTGTACATGGATGTAGTGAAGAGTGTGCGCAATGCCTTTTTGGCAATTCTGGGATGTTTTTTTAAGTAAAAATAAGTCGACGTGTACATGGGTTTAGTGATATTTTAATTAAATGATAGTTATTTGTGAATTTTATGCTTGTAGGAATTTGGTATACGTTTAAGTTGAAGTAAACGTGCATGGAAATAATTTAAATATTTGATATTAAGTACTTGTAATGCTTGCGGTATGAATTCGTTGGTGACGTATAATGTAATAGATGATTTGGAGGTAAAGTTTTTGGATATTTTATTTATTTATATGTGGAATGTTCATATTTGGAAAGGGTAAATACTTTTTTCGCGATCAGGTAATTTCACATATGTTCTTTTTACCGGGTTTAAGATGCAATGCCATTTTTATGCAATTCTGGATTTTTTTTTAAGTAAAAATAAGTCGAACGTGTACATGGTTAGTGATATTTTAATTAAATGATAGTTATTTTGTGAATTTTATGTTTGTAGGAATTTGGTATACGTTTAAGTTGAAGTAAACGTGCATGGAAATAATTTAAATATTTGATACTAAGTATTTGTAATGCTTGCGGTATGAATTCGTTGGTGACTTGTATAATGTAATAGATGATTTAGAGGTAAAAGTTTTTGGATATTTATTATTTTTATATGTGGAAAAATGTTCATATTTGGAAAGGGTAAATACTTTTTCGCGATCAGGTAATTTCTTATATGTTCTTTTTACCGGGTTTAAAGATTGAGAAAATTGTCATGTATTTTCGTGAAATTTTTCTAATTTATGAGAAAAAGCAGTGTACATGGATATAGTGAAGAGTGTGCGCAATGCCATTTTTGTGCAATTCTGGGATGTTTTTTTAAGTAAAAATAAGTCGGCGTGTACATGGTTTATGTTATGTGTATTTTGAAAAACGCGTAAGGAGTATGGTATCGTGGACTTTTTTCCCAATTTTGCAGTGAATATTGTCACGATTAAGTAGTTTTGTTAGATAAAATTTCTAGCATAAGTGTAATTCGGCTAGTAGATTGTTGGAAGAAGTGTTCAGTAGATAAAAAGAAAAGAAACATGTCTTTACTTCGTGAAGACAAAATGGCGGCGGGAAAAAAAAAATAGAGGGTTGCTGTAGGAGAGTTGGTCGCCAAATTTTCGCCAAAAAAACGCCAAGTTACCATAATGTAAAGATCAACCAAAAAAAAAAAGAAAGAAATACTGAAAACTATGTAAAATGGATGTATTAAAGGTCATGCATTCATTAATTTATTACATGGGCATGGCTCTTACCGAAATACATAAATCAACAGGCAAAGTACTTAATAATGAAAAAGGACACTTGTAATAGAAATATTAGTATTCTATATGAATTAGAGAAAATCCATATAAGTATAATGTAAATGTAAGGGTTTAATCCTAGTATCCGGTGCACACGGGATTTGGCTACTTTTGGCGACTTTATGATGAGCAGTAAAAACCGGACATTGCGATGAGTAGTTAACGGGTCATTCAAAGAAAATATATAGTTAAACATAGTATATACTATGTATATAGTATATATGCTATGTATATACACACATAGTATATAGTGTATAGTATATATATATATAGACGTTCTTTGGATCATTTTTGGTGTTGCCGATAATTTTCAAAGTCGTGAAAAGGCTACACCGTATACTAGGATTTTACCAATGTAAGTATAAGAATACTAATATTTATTTTTTAAATGAATTTCTACTTCCCGTTATGCTTAATACATTGTTTTCTGTGCTAACTTGAATTTAATACAAATTTATTTTCGTATATCACGTTTAACCTGTTAGTTTTTCATCTATATACTTATTATCCGTGAATTTTTACTACCATTGTCTGCTAACTTGAATTTACATACACTAAAAACCACGTTTACGGCTCGGCTAGGATGAGCCGCGAGCTTGGCGAATAAAAATGCAACGGCGCCAACGGGTTCTTTCCCGAAGCGCCAAGGGTTCTCTGCGATCTATTAGCAAATCTAGCAATAACGTGGATAATTAACTATCTAATGATTTGAATATCAAAACATAACAATCCAAGTGATCTCTCATATGATTTTTTTATGGTTGGGATTAAAGAACTAAGAAGAACAATTAAAAGTTTTCCCCGTTTCTTATAAAACAGTTAATGCTCCCGTAATAAAACTTACTACAGTATTATGTTTTATACGTACTGGGTATATATTTCTTGGCCATCGTATGTTATTTCCTGAACTTGATACTCTTGATGAGCTTCAACACACACGTTTACGGACATAATTTATGATATGATAGCTACGAAAAACGCATTAAGAAATTACAACACTTTCATTGAAAAAAAAACAACCAACAACCCAATCCAAAATACTACTACACTCCAATTATACTACAACAAAATATTTACACTGGGCATTGCTTCACTTCAATTCGAAAACTTCTTCAAGTATTTAATATCTATAAAAAATTAATTTTAAATTCATTGTTTCATTAAACATTATAGAATAAATATATAGAATTAATCATCTATATAAGCTGTAAAAACCTGTTGAGCTTAGTTTTAAAACGAAGGTTTTGTTACTATGCTTAAACCAGTAATGTTTTACTTAATCTCTGAATATTAAGACACTGAGTAGTGGCACTAAGTTAACGCATTTTTGTCAACAAAACATTGTTGTAATTTAGACGTGATTTGTTCTTTGCTAATTTTTGTTTTATAATTTTAAAGGGAAATAGGTAGTAACCAGTTATCGTTTTCCAGAAGAGTTAAAATACTGAAGGTGCTGCATAAACACGCACGCACATAGCAACTCAGAATTCATATTTAAGTAGTTTGTAGCTCAAACATGTCGGAAAGAAAAGTTTTGAATGCAAGTTTTTAAATTATTATATCACTTATTATCATTTTCTTAAAGTTAAATTATAAAAACGTAGCTAATGCAATTTATTATCTCCCAATTTTAGAAATACTACCCTCCAGATTTCGATCCATCGAAAATACCTCGTCTTCGCCTTCCTCGCGATCGACAATATACAGTCAGGTTGATGGCTCCATGCAACATGAGGTTTGTATTAGAGCCTAATTCTTTGTTAAATTATTCGATTTAATATTTTATCTTCTCAATCATTCATATTTTATAACTGACAGAATGCGTGAGAGTTTACTGAGAAGAGCATTTGCAGCTAATAAATTTTGTGTATGAGAATTTTCTTTTAATATACTGTGTTAATTAAATATAATTATTCGGCAAAAGTATATTTTAGGGTACCCCTTGGCGATTTTTGGCAGTACATGGATACCGAGATTGTGCAATTCTTTGACTTATTATTTTGGCTTGCATAACGGCGATCGGTACACAAAGCCAAAATAACATGACAAAGAATTGCACAATCTCGGTATCGATGTACACATCAACCTATTTTCACTTTAAAAAAAAATTCCCCGTATTGCACAAAAATGGCATTGCGCACTTCCTTGATTTTATCCATGTACATGTCGACCTATTTTCAGTTAAAAACAAATTCAAGAATTTCACAAACTTGCATTGTGCACTCCCTTCACTTAGTCCATGTACACATCGATATATTTTTACTTAAAAAGTCAAAGGAGCACCCAATTCAGTTAATCTTTGGATTATGGTAACTTGGCGAAAATTTGGCGACCAACCCTGCTACAGCAACCTGCTAATTTTTTTTGGACACCATTTTGTTTTCACGAAGTAAAGGCGTGTTTTTTTTTTTTTTTCTCAAAATTTTTTCCCAACAATCTGCTAGCTGAATTACGCTTATGCTAGAACTTTTATGGAACAAAAGTGCTTAATCATGACGTAGATTAGGTTCGAAATTGGGAGAAAGTGCAGAATTGCCCACTGCTTGCCGTGTTTTTAAGAATTGCACATACACGGTATCCATGTACACATCGACCTATTTTCACTTAAAAAAACATCCCAGCATTGCACAAAAATGGCATTGCGCACACTCTTGACTTTATCCATGTACACTGCTAAAGTCCTAGCTAGTGACCTTTATCGCCTTACCAAAATGTCGCCAAACTACCTGTTACCGTATTCCAAAGATTAGACCCCAATTCTACAATACAGGCAAACAAAAAATACATAATCTCAATAAACTACATTTTAAACCAAATGATAAAATAACATAAAAAAGGAAAAACATGTTATCATTTAAGCACTACAAAAAGCAAATATCCACTTACCTTATTTAGAAGTTCCTTCGTCTTTAGTTTGTGGCACACAAAATTATTTAACAGCATCCAAAAACTTCCTAAAATTATCTGAACTCAAATCCTTGTATCTGCATCGCCACATCTGAACCTTTCTTCCTACAAATCCATCTAAACGGTTTTTACGTTCGATTAGACACATATCCTATATACAGGACACTTATAATGGCTAACCTTCATTTACACACCAGTCAATTAATGCTCTTTTCCCCTTTCATTCCAAATCGTACAGAAACTCAAATTAATCTTACTACATTCAGCCATTCTACCGTCTGAACAATAAAACCAACACACACCACAAAAGCTCTTATAAAACATCCCATGATTCAAAATTTCCCAGAATCATGCACCCGATTAGGTCACAATAGGGTTTCCATAATATTCAACTACTCTGGCTACCATAAATGAAACAACAGCTTCGCCATAATACAAGTGTTACCCTAACCCTCTAATTGGCAAAGCCATATATATATATATAAATATTCTAGGCCGTATGTATATACATATATACATACGGCCTAGAATATTTATTGTGATATCTGTAAGAATGTATATATACGTGCCTATTAAATCATGTCAACAAAATTAAGGCAATATATCAAAAGAAAACAAATCCAGGTATGAAACACGAGGAGAGATTTTACATTGAAACCATAAAAATAATTTATTCTCATAGTTTTGGGAAATTTGTCCTTTTTTAGAGAAAACCCTGGCCGCCGAGAGGGTTAAAGTCCACTCTAACCAATTATTCTTTAACGGAAGGTATGTTTCTAATGCTTCGTTAACAATCTGTGTTGGTTACACGAGTGTATTTTTTTTTAAATTATATGTTAAGATCATATCTAATTCTGAGGGAATTTATATCTTAAAATATCTTTGCAGATAACTTAGGATTCAAAATGGTAGGTTCAGGTTGTTGATTATTTAGCCATCTTATCATCAAGAGCATTGTTAAGGAGACAGCCTAGGTACAGATAGAAGTGTGTAAGACATCAGAATTTTGCCATTGGTGATGCATACTGCTACTGCACTAACTCAATATCACCACAACACGATCTCAATTTTGATAGAGAACACTTCTGGGAATGGTTCAAAGGATTTTCTATCCTTCTTCCTGTTTAGGCAGAGCTGGTAAGCCTGTGATGATATATTCTAAAAGCATAATTGTTAGGCAGAGCTTGTGCAGTCGTGCTGGGTGGCAGAATTTAAAGGCAGTGAAATTTTTAGAAGTCAGAGCCGCAAATATTGCAGTGGGCAGTGAAAGCATACTGCTGGCTCCACTCTTAAGACTCTTGATTCACCAGTATTTTAAGTGCCCCTATGCTACAAAGACACTGTACATGTACACACATCCAAGCCTTATCTGGAATTTGAATGTTGGCCCAACAATACTGTAGCCAGCATTGCCAACCTGAGGCTAGAGGGCAGCATTGAGAGGTAGATTGCTATTGCATCTGCAAAAATAAAATTATTTATACACACAAGTAACCAAATCTTATGTGGTATTTTGGAGTATGTCTTGCTTTCTGATGTATAATTAAGCCGTATGTGGATAAGATTGGATATGTTTAAATAACAAAGCCTTATACAAGATTTGAACCTACACCCTGAAGTTTAGACTAGCAGTCAGCCTAAGCTGAAGATTTTACTGTCCAGGGTGTCTCAGAAGCAAAATAAAAAATATGATTTATGGACCAGCAGTTTAATTCAATGAATGATTTGTTTATATCCTTTTCCAGAAGCTAAGATTCATGTTTTCGATGTGAAATCTGAAGGCATGTGTAATTTCATTATTAAATACTTTTATTATAATATAGATTGGCTAGACTATATTTAAGGATGCCCCTTGGATTATCCCTAAGTTGTTGTTTCATTTATGGTAACATGAGTAGTTGAATGTTATGTAAACCCTATTATGACATAATTGGTTGCGTGATTGCTGTCAATTGGAATTGTGGGAAAAGATTTGGAAGGTGAATGTTGGATTTTGGATAAGAAGTACGTTGTTATTTTGTGATTTACACGATAACATGGCTGAATGTGGTAAGATTAATTTAAAGTTTTTGTATGATTTGGAATGAAAGGGAAAAAAGCATTAATTGACTGGTGTATAAATGAAGTAGCCATTATTATGTGTCCTGCTTGTAGAAAGGAAATACATATGGTCAGACGATATTGGCACTATGGAGGAATTTTGTTTGACAGAAGACATGTAAATGAGGTAAGTGGGTATTTCCTTTGTGTAGTTAAGATGAATTTCCTTTTTTATGTTATTATTGTTTGATTTAAAATGTAGTTTATTGAGATTATATATTTTTTTGTTGGCTGTTACTTTGACTTTTTAAGTGAATATGTACATGTGTGTATGATGTGTACATGGACAAAGTCAAGGGAGTGTGCAGTGCCTAGTTTGTGCAATTCTCTGATGTTCTGATGCATTTTTAAGTGTAAATAGGTTGATGTGTACATGGATACCACGTTTGTGCAATTCTTTGACTTGTTACTTTAGATTTATATAGCGGCAATTTTTGGGGCAAAATAACCCACACAAAACAGAAATAACAAGTCAAAGAATTGCACAAACTTATTGTCCATGTACTGCCAATTATCGCGAAAAGGACACCCATAAATATATTTTTACCCATAGATAATAATGTCTTGATAACTCTTATTATAACATAGAAATTTAATAATAAATTATTGCTTCTCAGCCTAAATGTAAATTTTATAATCATTGTAATGTATTTGAATATTTTGTAAAGATTAATTAAAGCCATAACTGTGTATTCTTAAGAGTAAACATATTTGGTGTTGGCATAGCGTGCGGCTCTGAGGTCTGTTTTTAGTATACTATTATTTTAGTTAGTCGACTAGTATTGTGAAAAGTTAGATGCCTAAAAAAATATTAACATAATTAGAAGAAACCATTAACAAAATAACTATTTATAAGTATTGAAACATTAAAACACTTAGGTGAACTGCATGTTATACTGGCACCAAATATTTTGTTTTAGAAAACAGTTACTATAAATAAACATAGCCAGCCTATAGCATTTATGGTGATTTCTTTATTTTACAAAATTATTAAAATCATTATTTTAAAAGCTTTTGGCTCTACTCTTATATGCGCCCTAAAATCACCAAATGTGGCGATATGTGTTCTGCACTGGTTTTTGGTGCGATTGCGTGTTGTATGGCAACTCTTTTGATGTTGAAAACTCTTTTGCTGGTGTTGTTTAATTGCTCGATGGTTCATGTCGTGCGTGTTTTGAAATGGCCTACGTTGCAATGAGAGACGTGGTTGCAAGAAGGTCTGAGAGATTATTTTTAGTGGCTGTGCTTGATAGAAGTAAGGAAACGCTGATGCGGTGTATTAAAGAGTAGATTGAGCCTTGTACAACTATTTTTTTCGGATGCATGGAAATCTTACAAGGATTTAAGAAAAGAAGGTTTTGAACATTTAATTTTGAACCATAGTATGAAGTTTTGTGGATAGCAAGTCTGGACTGTCGTATAAATACCATAGAGAGTACATGGACGGACATGTTCAAGCTACGTTCTGCTCTTCGAAGAAGCATCCGTTATGGTAAGTGCATTTTATTTTATTGTTTTTATTTTGTAGAATGTTATGTTCGTTGTTTTTTTACTGTAAGTTACTGTTGTTATTGTTGTTTTTTGAATTATTTGTAATTTAGTTTATTTTGTTGATTTGTGCTCAGTGCCTAGATTGTGCACTTCGTACATGTTTTTTTAAGTTTAAACAGAATGCAGTGTACATGGTATTCTTTGAAATTTATTGTTGTTATGTTAATTTATTACAGC